TTCCATAGATTGACCATTGAATCGAGCCATCATCCCTTCTCTTTAACGTTACATCTAGAAAGTGGAGCGTTGAATTTAACTCTTTCTCAATAGTGAATTTAATTGACGACTGACAATCATTGAAACGTCTTAGCAGTTCATCCACAGAACATATTTCGTCACAAATAAGAAAAATGTTGTCGATGTACCTTTTATACAAATAAAGTTCCGAGATAATTTGTTTAAGTGGCCCATTTTCGAATTTTACCATAAAGATATCAGTCAGGACAGGGCCTAGTGCAGACCTCATTGCAACTCTTTCCGTCTGATTATAAATTATATCATTCAATCTGAACTATACATTAAACATATATCTTAATATTACTTTCTTTTCAGATTGTCTAAAAACTTTCAGGATCCTAGTAAATAAATCAAACTAACAGATGTACATGAAGCTTTTCATGGAGTTTAATGGTGACGAAATCCGTCCATATGGAACTACTATTTTAGGAAACGATAAAACTGAAACGAAGGAAGGAAAGTTTATTATTAACACTGTGTACAGTAATCATCAAATATTGTACATCCTCCATTAAAATAGTCATTTTCACAATGTACTTCTATCTCTATTTGCTTTTAATACGCCCACATTTCCTCTCTTGTTTCTCTAGGCAGAATCTTTAACCATTGTTGATAATTCCCGAAGTTCCAATGATAAGTCGTGACCGGTGGAGTCAAAGCCTGATGGCCGTGAGGACAAATACTCAACGATGACATTGGGTGGCGGTTCGCGCTACATCGTGAGCTAACAGAAGTTGGAAATATGGAGCATTGGAATCTGACCCACTGGCTCAATGGTAACGCGCTGGTCGCGGAACCTGAAGGTCGCGGGTTCGATCCCTGCTGGTGGGGTCGTGGGTGCGCACTGCTGAGGAGTCCCAAACTAGTTGGACGAAACAGCTGTCCAGTGCTCCCAGGTTTCCTTTGTTCCTCCAACTGATGTCAGTCTTCGATGAATAACAACTTGAAATAATTCCAAATCTCCACAACCCCTCAAAATATAATTAACCTAATATTTCTACCGTCCTCTCAACATATACTACTTGTATCTATTCTGATCAGTAAAGTCCATTATACTATGACTTAAAATCGAAACAATGAATTAAGGACAGTAGTTGTTCTTATCAAATGAATTAGATATATAAACGAGAGCTTATTTCTTAGCATCATAAGTCATATCTTTGCTGATGTTCCCCCAAATGATAGAGAGTGGATTGAAATAGGATCCAGGACCCATGTTTCATACATGCCTCCCAGTGTGCTAGGACTCAGAGCAAGGGTCAATCTTTTCATTCACTATAGCATTACTCATTAAGCTACTGAGCTATAGTAGCGACTTCTTCGCTTTGAGTTTTGAAGCAACTTTTCCTGGATTCGAGGCCAAGTGGAAACAATATTCATTACTAGGAGGCAAGTACATCCAGTTGATGAGTCCGAAATAGGATGAAAGGCACTTCCTAGGTTCTACTCCCAACCACTATCTATTATTAGTTATCAAAACTGAAAATACCAGTAATATCTAGGCATCTGAACAGGAGTTAATATACCAATCAATAGTGGTCAGTTAGTTCGGTCCAATCAAGGAAAGGGATTTGCAAGCTATAACATCAAAACGAATAACTTCTTAACTTCTTGTCCTATCCGATCCACTTTTCATCCCTTCTCGGATGTGAGACGATGGCTATCGAAACGACTGTAGACAGGCACCTTATTCAAGGATATAATCTTTTATGGTTGAATGCATCGACTTAATTGCAAAGTTTCATCAGTACTGATTGGTTGGATAAAAATAACATCTTAACAGAGATAATAATGTTTGTTTGAAGATCATAGACGTACACCATCTTCAGTATTGATGAGGTGACAGATTACCATGCGAATAGTAAATATCTTGTACATCAACTCATTGTTTCCAGTTGTCGAGCCATGAAACTTAGTTCATTACATATTGACTAATATGAAAAGGCTACAGGTTCAGCATGAGACTGCTTATCATAGAATAGAAATGAAGAAAGCAGTTTTGGTTCAAATTAGACAAAAGATTATGATTCATGGCATGTTAATCTATGAGATTGTGAAGCTTAAACGTCTGCAGTTACCAAGATATATATATATATATATATATATATATATATATATCAAGCCACCAATTGCCTGGAGATACGATGTTGACTGGCTTAGAATATAGATTCTAATGGTTACTTATAGGGATACCTATATCCTTAATATTCCATACCTATCAACTGTATTTTTGAATTGTATTTGTTTGTGCCGTTTTTACTACATGTGAGTTACACTTAATATAACCTGTCAGTGTTCTGATTGGCTAACAGCTGTGACTAGGCACTGTGTGACAAAATAATAAAGATGAGAAATTCAGTTTGTTTGGCAGGTATATGTAAAGTGACCTTAAGGGTGACTTTAAAGGTCACTCAAACACCTGATGAGATAACCAATCAGGTTTCTTCATTTTAAGAATAACTTTCTCTCCAATCAAAATACAGGAAAGTGATTGCCTATTTTATCAATTTCAAAATGTTATCCATCGTAGACTGACATCAGTTGGAGGAACAAAGGAAACCTGGGAGCACCGGACAGCTGTTTCGTCCTAGTATGGGACTCCTCAGCAGTGCGCACCCACGTCTCCGACACGGATCGAAACTGCAACCTTCAGGTTCCGTGGCCAGCGAGTTACCATTAAGCCACTGGGTCAGAATCCAATGCTCTATATTTCCAACTTCTGTTAGCTCACGATATGACTAAATGGTAACGAGCTGGCCACGGAACCTGAAGGCCACGGGTTCGACCCCTGGCAGGGTAGTGGGTGTGCACCGCTGAGGAGTCCCATACTAGGACGAAACAGTTGCCTGTCCAGTGCTCCCAGGTTTCCTTTTTTCCTCCAAATGATGCCAGTCTACGATGAATAACAACTTTAAATATTTCCAAATCTCCATAACTCCCTCAAAATATTTTATCAATTGTTAACGTGGTCTTTAAAATCACTTCATACATTCTTTAGTTATGATATACGGTGAAAGTTGGTTGGATAACTAATCATTCCTTTCTGTTGACTGAGTGCATTAGAATACAACATGATATAAAATGCCTCCTCAACTATTCATCTTTCTTTATAGTTTGAAAAATCACTTTGAATGATTTTAGTACTTTCAAAATCAACTTTTGGCTATCAAATATGGCATGAAAAGTAAATGATGATTTGATTTGTATATTCTCTAGTCCTTACAAGATTATCTGAAGACTGTTTTGTGTAACTTGGATGTTATTCATCACGAATGAGCATCTCATAGAATAAAAAAACTAATTGTTTGTTTCAGGTTGGTGCTCTTCATGGATTGACATCAATTAGAGAAGCATTGGGAACCTAGGAGCACTGGAAAACTGTTTCGTCTTAGTATAGGACTCCACAGCAGTGGGCACCCGAGAGTAGTTCTCATGTTTTTGTTTTGAAGTGAAAACAGCTAGGGAGATGATGAAAAGTGTTCATTTCTTCACAGCTGTTTCCTGCTGGTCAGTCAGTACCAGGATGCAACGTGACACGAATATGTAATGGCACAAGATGCCACACTTCACATGAGCACTTTAAGATACAAGATAAGAAGATGAAGGATGGAGAAATAGAGAAGTTGAATGTAATCAGAAGTTTTAGAAAGTTACCAGAAACTAGAAAAACACAAAAAAAGTGATAGGGATATGTTATGAAGAGATTATAATGATGAAATCATGTGGATGCGTCTGCACCATGTCACCTAAAGTCTCCAACCACCGATTTCATTGTGTGATATCAACCCTAACCCCTGAAGTTTACATTACTCTACGTGGTTCAAATCAATATCATGGGTTGATGCCACGTTCCAGTCTGACTGATTTTAACCTTTTTCAGCCTGAAGCAAGCTTACTTACCTATACAAATAGAGGTGAATAGTGACTGATTTGTCAACCATAAAGTTATCCTCGGAAAACGTCAAACGGATTATCTTACCCTACATGAAGGACGTCTCCAAGATCACGAATAGATCACTAGAACCTTTTGAAATCAGTAGAGGTCACAAGTCCACGAAATCTCTTCTCATGTTGTCATGCAGGCCAAAGACACATTCGCAAAAGAAGACAAACCAAATATTATCTACAAAATAAACTGCAGGAACTGAAAAAAGTATTGTATCGAACAGTGATCGCCTTCTTCGTGTCCGTCCACACAAGCGTAAACTAGCAGTGAAACGTCATGACATATCTTTACTCATACCAGTGCATGCGGACAACTGGGGACATGAATTTGACTGCAAAAATGTGGAAATCCTGGATAGAGAAAACATGAAGAATACAAGAGAATTTTTAGGAGCTTGATATTCAGGTTAATCAGCAATCAACAGATATATTGACATTGACCCAATCTGTCAACCAATAGGAAAAAAACAAAAAGGTCAAATTTCAAGTCATCAAAACAACCAATCAGAATAAACATGGAGGCAATGACGACTGTCAGAAACAACCAATCGCACACAAGGTCATTAGGACAAGGTACTCAATAAATTGCTGAGACAAAGTTATGGCTTGCTTCCTTCTGAGGTTTGTGTTGTTGATGATGTTGTGCAGAATGATAATGAAACCCTTATGATTAAACCATCCAGTCCAAGAGAATACGATACCATCAAAAAGATGACTGGTAATGCATAACAAATGACCCAGTCACCTGTAGTCGATGAAGGTTGATAACAGTCCGAAGGTCTTTGGTTCGAATCCTACTGCGGCCCAGATTTTCGATTCCCCTACAATCATCACTCACTATGAATACAGGTGTGCTAAACCACAACTGCTATCTTAGACAGTCAAACTCATAATGACAACAAATAGAAAAATCAACGTAAATTGTTATCTGTAGTCTATAAATAAGTGAATAATTGATGAAAGGTACGAAAACTCTAACTCTCATAATTACTTACTTGAATGAATCTGGTATCCAATAGCCTTCTTTAATATATAAAGGTGGTTCATAATTTGCCATATATAAATATTTCCAACTTTTTTCATTTGACCAATCAGATGTCCAATAATACATTTGTGATAATGAAATATATTTTACACTAATTGGTATACCAAAATTTTTTCTAACTTTTGTCCATGTTAACGGAAAATAGATTTGTAAACGTTTTGATGATTTCACTTCTTCCTCAAGGATTAATGATATAAATATAACCAATTTAAGCATAATTTGGAGTATCAAGGTCATATTCATTTAAAGAGGATGAATATATGTTGACCTAGAAAACAGCCCTTCTGTTTTACAAACAGATACATAAGATGGAGCAGCATACTGTTTGAGTTTTTAAGCTCAAGGTCAATCAATATAAAAATCGATTTTTTTTATTGTATCACATGACATGAAAAGAACAGATATGTGCATATATGCCTAGGATGCACTAGGAGGTATTCTATTTGATGATTTGTACATAGTTTATTCAATTAGCTAGACATGGAATGTCAGCACGATGTCTGAACCCAGCAAGGCAGTCCAGATTGCAAACAAGAGAAGAGGTATTGTATTGAAGTGCTTGGAATTTGCGAAAGCAGATGGAATGGAAGTGGACTCTCCAAACTGTCAACTGGAGAATCAGCAATCTACTCCGATATTGTCACCCACAAGACAACCACGAGCACACTGAGTTGTGAAGTGGCTATCATGATGTCCCCAACAGCATCGAAGGCTCTCATGCAGTGGGAACGATTCTCCTCCAGGATCATGACAGCAAGATTCAACTCAGAAGGAAGGAAGGTCACAATCATACAATGCTACACTATGAACCTACAAATAATGCAGAGCAAGAGAAAAAGGAGGAATTCTACACACAACTCCAATCAACACTGGACAAGACATCAGCTGGCGACATCAAAATTCTAATGGGTGGGGCGACATGAATGCCAAACTGTAGGGAGCGGACAACACAGGAAGAGAACTAACCGTGGGTCGAGAAGCGCTGGGTGAGGGGATGAACGAGAATGGAGAATTGTTTGCAGAATTCTGTGCATTCAACGATTTGGTGATTGGAATGGGGCAGTGTGTTCAAGAACAAGGATATCCACAAAGCAACATGAATTTCACCAGACACCAGGACACACTAGAAATCAAATCCACTTTACCTCAATGTGAAGAAAGTGGAGACGCAGTCTACTTGACACAAGGTCAAGAAGAGGAGCAGATGTAGGTTCAGACCACTCACTATCTAGTGCAAGGAACCTTCCAAATCAAGTTAAAAGCCTTCAAGGAAGCTGGTGATAGACCACGGTTCAAGTACAACAACCAGAATAGAAAGTGAAGGACGAAACTACCAGGGACATCTTCACGGCAGCCATCAAGACAAAATGGGAGATATCGAGCAACATTCCTGAAGAAACCTGTGTGGAAGGACACTGGAAGTCTTTGAAAGCTATGTGGAAAGAAACCTGCACAGCCATATTAGGAAGGAAGAAGAAAAAAGATAAGGAATGGATCTCAATGGATACATGGAAGCTGATAGAGGAGGGAGAGGAGGATGGTGAAGCAGAAGATAAACCAGTTCAGTGCAAGGATGCTCAATGAGAAGAGGAACTGGGTACAATGTATAAAACACTACACTGGACAAAGAAGTGAAGAAGAGTGCACGGAAAGACAAGAGACACTTCTACGAAACACTGGCAAGTGAAGCAGAACAGGCTGCAGGTAAGAGAGACCTGACAACATTGTATCAAATAACCAGGTTGCTACCTTTGAAGAGATCAACACAGACGAAACCGATAAAAGATGATGAAGGAAATTTAATAACGAAAGAGGAGAAACAAAGGAAACAATGGGCTGACCACTTCAAAAAGCTCTTGAATCCACCACCACCACCACCTGCACTTCTTCCAGAAATACCACCTGCAGCCCAGCCGCTGAACTACAAGTGAACACAAGCCCCTCGATGAAATTCGAAGTCCTAAGTGCCGTAAAGCTACTAAAAATGTGGGAAAGCAGCAGGACAAGATGGAATCCCGCACTGAGAATAGACGCAGGGACAACAGGGGATATGCTCATACCACTATTGCAGAAGGTGTGGAAGGAAGAGAAGGTACCTGACGATTGGAAGAAGGGTTACCTTGTCAAACCCCCGAAGAAGGGAGACTTCAGTGTTTGCAAGAACTGGCGCAGAATCACTCTCCTGTCCACCCAATGTAAGGAAAATATCTTTCCGCATCATCCTGGAGAGACTAAAGGATGCGTTGGATTCAAAACTACGACCAGAACAGGCTGGATTCAGGATGTATAAATCATATGCGGACCAAATTGCAATGCTACGCTTCGCATCATCATAGAACAGAGCATAGAATGGCAGCCAACTCAACTCGACCTCAACTTCATCGATTTTGAAAAGGCCTTCGACAGCGTCGACAGAGAAGTAATTTGGCAGGTAGCAGCTTCAACACTACGGAATACCACAAACCATCATCAACCTCATTCAACAACTATATGAAAACGCCGAATGCCAAGTAATTCACAATGGGAAGCTCAGTGATGTCCTTCAAGTGAAGACAGGAGTAAAACAAGGTTGCCGCTTACTATCCCCCATGATATTCCTGATTGTGGTCGACTGGACTGGATCATGCAGCAAACCGTGGGGAGCGGGAAGGTGGGCATACGCTCAACCGCGGAAAAGATACTAGAAGAAGATTAGGATTTCGTCTCCGATGTCTTGTGTCTAATGTCACACAAACTTGAAGATCTACAGGTGAAAACTAACAAGTTGACAGAAGAGGTGGAGCAACGAAGACGGGACTTCAAGTGAACGTAGAGAAAACAGAGGTGATGATGATACCCAACCAACAACAACAAACACCAGTCACCATCAATGGGAGAAACTCAAAGGAAGTAGCCTCTTTCACCTATCTAGGCAGCACTGTTTCAACTACAGGTGGAACAGGCACAGACGAGGACGTCAAAGTCAGCCAGGATCGGAAAGACAGCAAGACAGGCGTTCATTAACCTGAAACCAGTGTGGAGATCTTCTGCACTGCACTGCACTCCACTCCACTCAGCATAAAGTGTGAACAAGATCAAGATTTTCAACACCAACGTCAAGTCAGTTCTTCTGTATGGCTCAGAGACTTGGTGCGTTACGAAAGGCATTTCCAACAAATTACAGACATTCATCAACAACTGCCTACGCTCGCTGAATACTGAAGCTCAGATGGCCAGAATAATAAGAATAAGCAACAAGGAACTGGCTCCGAGAACGAAGCATTTAAGAACCTATTGCTAAACAAATATGCAGTGGAAGGAAGTGGAGATGGATTGGAAACACACTGAGAAAGCTGACTGAGGACATCGCATGCCAGGCCAGGGTGTCGAGTGGAACCTGAATGGAAGCGACGAGTTGGGTGTGCGAGGCGAGTGTGACATGGAGGAGATCGTGTGAGGAATAAATGAGAACTTGTGGGCAGTTGTGGAGCCAAGTTGAAGGAGTGTACAGAACAGAGTGCAATGCAGACGTGCTACTGAAGCCGTATGTTTTATTAGGAACCCAAGGGATAAATAATAACAATAATCTATATTACATGGATTCGAACTCTACGAAACAGTCGAAAAAACTACTGAGTTTGATCCCCAATTTACTGTTTGCATACTATATCAATGCGAACCATGACCCCTAAAATTAATCAAGTTTGCAGTGATAACAGATGCCTATCGATGATATTGGATACTGGTTGCGGTATGCCATGAATTGACACAAGGAGGATATTGTGGTTTACCGTATTCCAACCCGATGGCTGAATGATAGCATTCTCGTGACAAGACCTGATGGATCTGAGCTCGACTGCTTGCAAGTTCGTGAGGACGCACTTCCGAAGATTGTCATACAAAACAAAACAGCTTTTCAGTGCTCTCTAGTTTTCAGTGGTTCTTCAACGTGATGCAAACTGCTTACATTACAAGCTGATATAAACTGAATACCTATTGGAAATTAAGCATTGAACCACTATCATACTCACAGTTGATACCTTTCAGAAGCAAGCACCCTTGACTCCTAACGGTCTTAAGACTCGTATTCAAATTAAAAGTATAAAATCCGTTTGCCTTGTTTTATGAAGCTTTAAAAGTTTTGTACTCTAAAATTGAATTGCGAAGACTAGCTACTTATCTTCAGTTTAATGATAGAAAGTGAATAGGGATTTACATTAGCGTGAACAGGCTGGTGGCTGAAGAAGTTTCAGCTAGAATAAAGAAAGCACGTTTGGTATATGCGAGCTTGGATCATGCCTGGCACCGACTGGCGAGATATCCGACCAACTATCAAAGGATGAGTATACTGCACTGCAGTCCGTTCTCTACTGTTGTGCTTCTGTGAGACATGGCTGTTAAACGTAGAAGACATGAAGCGATTACAGGGTTTTGATCACAGATATCTTCTCAGCACTGTTTGGCTTCGGTAGAAGCGTCATGTGAGCAATGTTGAGATCAGGTTAAAGATAGTAGGGAAGACAGGCATAACGAGGCACAGCCTGCGTTGGTGTGTCATGCTAGAAGATGTTGGATCAGGTTGGAAGAGGGTTAATGGTAACCGGATGAAGACATGTTATCACTCGACGAAGCCACTGACTGTGGGTCTCACCTATGTGGATACACCGCCTAGATGGGGTCACCTAGGGATAGAAATCACCGATAGAGAACTCTTGGTTGCATTGCTGAAAGTCGGTGACAATGAGGCAGACGTATTTACTCTTCGACATCTTGTGCAGCTTGGATATTCTCCTCTCATACACCATTGTCTACTTTGATATCACTCTTTTTATAACTACCTGTCCTTTGTATACTACTGCGAAGTGTAGTAAATAGGAGTAATGTATTTGTGTGTGAGGTTCTACCTTGATTTTGTCTGTTTATTACTTACCTTGACCCTATGATAAATAAGTAAGTTTCTTCAGTTACTGAATAGTATGAGAAAAGAAATATATATATATTTAGGCAAAGAATAATTCATGATAAGAATCTGGTTGCTACATTATCTTACGTTATGAAGTTGTTCTGCAGACTGACATTGCTAAAAACAGCGATTATTTTGACATTATTACAATTTTCAACATTAGGCCTTTTATATGAACTATGATCAAGGTTTGACCGAACAATACAGGAAATATTAGACGCTGCGTAAAAGGTTGACATTCAAGATAGTTTGTATTTGCGTAAGTCACAGCGAACATCTTCAGGGAAATAATCAATATTAAAATATATCAAGGATATATTTAAATGAATGAAAAGATGTGTAATTTGTTCTCC